ATAAATAAATAAAATCTTTAAAAAAAATAAAAATTAAAAAATTAAAAAAATAATAATAATAAAATCTTTTAAAAAGATCTCTTTAGGGCACCTGGGTAGCTCAGTCGTTAAGCATCTGCCTTCGGCTCAGGTCATGGTCCCAGGGTCCTGGGATCCAGCCCCGCATCGGACTCCCTGCTTCGCCGGAAGCCTGCTTCTCCGTCTCCCACTCCCCCTGCTTGTGTTTCCTCTCTCTCTGTCAAATAAATAAAATCTTTAAAAAAAGAAAGTCTACGCACTCCTTCTGCCTTCCCAGTCTGGGCCCTGAACTGGAGCAGAAAGCAGAAAAGGGAGGCTAAAAGTCCTTTCCAAGCTAGAGTAGCTCTTTTTCACTCACTGCCTTTAAAATCCTTGTTTGTCTGACACGAGGACGGAACAATGAAAATAACAGAATTTCAACCAAACCAGCTTCCCATGGTCACAGGCGACCCACAAGAACCACCTGGGAAATCAGGTATTCCGTCAGAGTGCAGGGGGTTGGGGTGGCGAACACACTATGTTCCCTCCGTTTTTGGTCCCAGTTTAAACATGTGTCCACAGCCAAGGGAGAGCCAAACCAGTAGCTCTTCAGCCTTATCCCGTCAAGCTCAATGGAAGTGGCTCCAACTATTTAAACACAATCTACAAAATCCCACAGTCCATCCCAAGTGCCAGGACAACACCGCAGCGCAGCCCTGAATGCACCTTAGCACCCCCCACCCTGGCTAAGACTCGGGGGAAAACGCAGGGTTTCTGCCATTGTTCACTCCCATGGGTTAAAACAAAGTACCCTGTTGTGTTGCTCTCCTCCCCGCCCCGCCCATTCCCCCAAAGCCTCTCGTTTAAAAGCACCAGAGAACTCTCTGCCAAGGACGGCACCTCGACACCAGCTTCCCAGTGCCACAAACACGTTTCTTCTCCATACTCTGGCGCCTCATCCACCATGGGACTGAGAGTCTTCCCTCTAGGAAGCCAGGGTTTTGCTCTAGTTTAGGAGAGGACGCCGCAGGCTATGTTTCAAATTATTGGCTCTCGTGGGAGGGCCAGCGCCCGCAACACACAGGACTGAAGTGGGGAACCCAAGAGAAGGCAAACTTCAGACGTTCTCTGGGGAAAGCCAGCGCTCTCAGAACCTGGGCTGGGTCAGGGCCGCGCGCACACACGCGCGCACACGCACACACACGCACGCTCAGGTGAGCACGCACGAGCTGCCTTGCGGCAAGGCCACAAGGTGTCCCTGCCACTCTCTCGCGCCCGAGTCAGAACCCTTGAACGGGACCCAGGACTCACCGCCAGGACGCTCTGGGCCAGGAGCCCCACTGTCACAGCCCCCAGCAGCAGGCACCTGCATGAGAGAGGGAAGGAGAGCGCCATGAGCGGGTGGCCTCGGCCTGGCAGTTCCCGAGTTACACGCGAGGGCCCCCGCGCGCAGGACCCTCGGGGACGCGGCAGAAAGTCGCTTACCGCCGCAGGGCAGGGCTGGACGCCGAGCACTGGTGTCTGTCCATGCTCCTGATCCGGCCGCTCCGGGCTCCGCGCGCTCCCTCCTAGCCTGGAGGGCGAGAGACAAAGCGGGCTTAGCAGGGGCCGGGGCGGGAGCATCCTCGCCGCGAGCCTCCTTCCGCGAGACGCGGAAAAGCGGGGTGCGCCCCCGCACCCCTGCAGGGCTGACAGAGAGCCGCCCCTGGTACAGACAGAAGAAGGGGGAGCCTTCCACTTAGGCCCCGCTCGGCGCCGCTCAGCCGCGGCCGCTCGGTGCCCCCCCCCCCTCCGCTTCAGCAGAAGTGCGCACAGCCCCTGCCTGCGCAGGGCGCCCCAAGCCCCAGCCTCGGCCCGGGTCTCGGCGTCCCCGGGGGTCGCCCTCACCTCGGGCCCGGCGTCAGGCGCTGTCCGCG